CAGTGAGTTACCAGCTTGCCAGATGTCTCTGGAGCAACTACCACGCAGGCGGTGCTGGCTGGTGCTGGCACCACAGCGGCGTCCTGGTGGAGCTGGAGGTGGTGGAGGCCAACATCCAAGTGACCAAATAACTCAGCTCGTGGCCGTGCCAGGCAGAACGCGGGCAGGCGTTGGGATGGAGGAGGACTTGTGTGGGTGCTGCGAGCTTGTTGAGGAAAGTGGCAAATTGCTCTTCAAACCTGAGCCTGTTGACTGGCTGGAGACAGCTGGCCAGTGCAGACGTCTCCTGGGTTGCTTTCCCCGCAGTGTGAGGATGGCCCTTCTCCCCCGACTCCTCCCAGTTCATCAGATGGTCCTGCTTTCCAACAGGGCTGGCTCCCCGGGATTTTCTGAAGCAGGCTGTTTCTGAGAACCCAGTTGCAGGTGGGAGGAAGGCAGGTCCTGGAGAAGAATCCCTGCAGTGATCTCCCCTCCCAGCTCACTATGGGGGGGCCCAGGCGGGGGGCCGTGGTCTCCCCATCCTGGCGTGGAGCTGGCGGAGTTGCACAGTCAGCCCGGCCGTTTTCCGACTCGGACTCGGCTCCCAGATACTGAGTGTCTGTGCTCGCAGGACACATCCAAGAGAGCGAGTCTGACCTTGGCAGGATAGTTCAAGTACCCAGGGGCTTTTAGAGTGACTTCCCGGTTTCGCTGTGCCCTGCACCCCCTGGCCTCTGCCACCTGAGCGCCCAGGCCCAGGAAATGGACGTGGAACTAAGACCTCTGTTAGCGTGGGGCGGAGGCGTGGAGGAGTTTGGGTTCTGAGCGTGTCCAGGCTCAAAGCTCACAGCCGTGTGGCCCTAGGCCAGGCTCTCGCGCTCTCTGAGCCTCTGTACCCAGCGGAGGATGCCAGCTGATTCCTCGGGCTGGGTGAGGGTGGCTGTGATGAAGTGGAGTGCTCCCACCCCTCAGGGAGCTGAGGACAGTTAACGACCATGGACGCCATGTGTGAGGCCAGCATCCCAGCTCCAGGCCGCCTCTGGCATCACTCAGGGCAGCAGAGGTGCAGCCTGTCTGTCCTGCCGCCCCCACGAGCAGGCTCAGCCCGTGTCCTCCGGCCTGGGCGCGGAGCCTCACCCTGACCATCCCCGCCTGCAGCCCCAGACCCCCCACCTGGAGGAGGACTTGAAAGAGGTGCTGCGCTCCGAGGCCGGCATCGAGCTCATCATCGAGGACGAAATGAGACCCGAGAAGCAGAAGAGGAAGGCCGGGGTGAGCAGCTGGCGGGGTGGGGGGCTGTGGGGCGGGGGCCCGGCCGTCTGTTCCTGCAGCCTGGTGGTCCATGACATCGGCCGGTGCAGCTGCCTGCCACCCTTCCGTCTCCCCTTGAACTGGTTCCTTGCTTATTCCGCGTTGTTTGGACCCTCCTGAAGTGGGCTCTGGGCTGGGTGGGATGGGTAGAGCGATGATTAAGACCCAGAGGGGGTCGCTCCTAGAGTTCAGTGGGCAGAAATGGCAAACACCCTCAGTGACTCAGTACACGCGGCATTCGGGGACAGAAAAGGCCCAAAGAGGATTTCAAGGGGCATCCTTCAGACGGAGCCGCCGGCCAACTGTCGGGGCAGCGTGAGGAGTGGGGCCAGCCGGTTCAGGTGAGGTCGGGAGTGGGTGGGGACACTGCTCTGGACGCCCAGGTGCGGAGGGCCGGTCCACACTGGACAGGCCTGTCCCACCCCCAGCCCACGTTGTTTCTTGACCGCAGGCGGCTCTGTGTCCCAGGGAAGACAGGAGTGGGACAGGGTGGTGGTGGGTGGGGATGGTGGGTGGCCAGGCTGGGAGGGGACCCTCCAGCTGGGCCCCCGGGTGTGTGGGCAGAGCATGACCAGGGCCCTCCCTGGCCTCTCTGTGTCTGAAGGTGGTTCCGAGCCAGGGTAGCAGCTATTTTGGGCACAGGGCTGAGTTTGGGAACAGGTGTCAGTCTCAGAGGCCCTCCCTGGGGTCGGAGCCACCCCCTGATCTCCTTATAGGAGGTGCAGGGCTTGGGGGCTGGGCATTCCCATAACAGCCTGTGTCCCATGCTGTCTTGCGTCTCTGTAGCTCCCCAGCAGGTGGGTGTTCTAGCTGTAACTTGCCTGTGTGGAGGAGTGTTCAGTGCAGTACAGACTTGGGCTGCACTTGGTCCCCTTGGGGATGAGGTTGGGTGGAGGTGGCGTTGGAGGTGGCACTGCTCACCAGTAGCTGGTGAGCAACTGGCAGGACAGTCTGCTCTATGGACAGAGTCTGCGACGGGGCCAGTGTCATCAGGCGCTGGGGGTGACGGGAATCCAGGCGTGTGCCCTAACCACCACCTCCCCCCAGATGCGGCGAAGCCCCATCAAGAAAGTCCGCAAGTCCCTGGCTCTTGACATTGTGGACGAAGACGTGAAGCTGATGATGTCCACGCTGCCCAAGGTTGGTAAGGGGTCTAGGAGAGAAGCCGTCCTGTGAGGCCACCCCCTATTCCCCACCCAGCTGCAGGAGGCTGAGAGTATGGAGTCGCCCTGGGGGGCCTGCGCCTCTGGGGCCCTTTAGCCTGGAGAGCTCTGGAGGTGGAGTCGGCGGGGCTTTCGTGTGCCAGGCTCAGCGGGGAGGAAGGGGGCAGGTGGCACTGGGCATTCGCACACTGGTGTCGATCCAGGCCGCCCTGCTCTTGTCCTTCACAGAAGGTTCGGTTGGCAAGCGTTGGCTGCTAGAACTTGTTGGGCACGTGTGTTTTCTGAGTCCCCTGCACCTTCCCTTGTATTAAACTGCTAGGGAAGACCCTGGAGATGGTCAGTGAGGTGCCTCAGGACCCCGCCAGGTGATCGGGGCACCTCTGCCCTGGCATGGGTGCTGCCCTGTTCCCAGGCCAACCTCTGGAGGGGCCACTGCTTCCACAGAGCCTGGGCCGCAGAAACCATGCCGGGCAATCGATCCCTTGCAGCAGGCAGTGGGGTGAGCTTGTTTTTCTCTGGTAGCCGGTAGCAGACAGTGAGGGCTGTGGAAAGGCCCACGAGACAGATCATTGCCTGGCAGCTCCTATAGGTCCGCCTGCCACTCTTACAGTCCTGGCAGAGAAAGCTCTATCTAATGAGGCATCCATGGCAGACCAGGAACTTGGTGCTCTTCAGCCAGACCCTTGAGCGAGTGAAATAACTAGTGGAAAGAAAAAAAGCCAGGTGAACTGGCTAAATGCAGAGGAGGTGGAGCAGAGGGCCTGGTCTCTGGCATCTCCGCTGCCTGCAGAGTAAAGGCCTGTCCAGGAGGCGGCACAGGCCTGGGGCTGCCTTGACCAGCCCCCCCATGGGCGCTTCTGGTCCCCAGAGAAGCCGGAACACCCTCGTCTCCACCTGAGACGGGGAGGAACCAGCTTCATGTAAAAGGAACCTGCATTCCTGGGTGTTCATCAGGTGCCAGGCTCTGAAACAGGCACTTGCAGCTGTTTTCCTACTTCATCTTTAAATGAAGCGGAAGCTGAGGCTCAGAGAAGTATCCTCTCCTGCCCACATCTTCTGCCCAGACCTCCCGGAGGCAGTGGCACTGGGATGTGCCTGCTCTTTTATGTTCTCCCTCCCACGGAAAGCCTGTGGCAAAACGCTGAGCCTCTGACTTTGTTTTGCTTTCAGCCGACCAGCATCCTCACAGCGGGCTCCTCAGGCCTCACCCCGTCGGGCAGCAGAGAGGACAGCAGCCTGCTCAACGAGGGCTTCCTGCAGGCCAAGTCCGAGAAGCCAGCAGCCCCGAAGCCCCGGGGCCACTTTCCCACCCCTGCCCCCGTGAGTGCTGCCCCTCGGGGCCTCGCTCTGTGATCTCCACATCACAGGGCCTTTGCACCGGCTTTGCCTCTGCATGATACCCTTCTGTGGCTCTGCTGACTGATGAATGTGGGCTTCACATCTCTGTCCCGATGCCACTCCCTCGGGGACCTGGGTACCAGAGCTCTCCCTCCACAAGCCACTCCTTCACGATGTGGTCTCACTCGTAATTAAGACATGTCTCCGTGACTTTGTCCTTGAAGACAGGGATCCCCTGCCTGTTTTCCCAGCCATATGCAGCCTCTCTGCTGCTCTCCAGCCTGCAGAACTAGCTTTTTTCCTCCCCTGGGGCCTGTTGCCACGTGATGGGCACGGGGGAGGGCGGGGGCTTGTGTCCTGGTCCAGCCTCCTTGCTCTATTCCTGAGGACGCTCAGAGATGGCACTGACTCTCCAGGTCCACCAGGAAGGTGCAGTGAGCACAGATGGTGGCTTCTAGAGGGAGGGAGCGTGGTAGAAATGTCCCCACCCCAACCAGGGTCTCCAGGCTTCCCTAGGAGCCCCAGCCGCTACCTGGATGGTAACCCCCTTTCTTCCTCCCAGATGACCACCGCCTGGAAGACAGTAGCCTGCGGGGGCACCAGGGACCAGCTCTTCATGCAGGAGAAAGCCCGGCAGCTCCTGGGTCGCCTGAAGCCCAGCCACACGTCTCGGACCCTCATCTTGTCTTAGGGGCTTGGCAGTCACGAGCCCATTCTCATGTTTACAGGGGGCTGGGGGTCTGATTCTGGGCTGTGAATTTGAGAATCACACTCAGACGACCGCCTGCAGGGAGCCTTCTGCCACCAGCCCCTCCCAGACTGCTCAGGTGGGGACAGGCAGGCCCACCTACTGACCTGTCTCCAAGCCCGGCTGCAGCTGCGGGCAGTTCCTGGTGCTAACAGAACAAAGTCCCACCTCTGAGCTGGCCTGGCCCTCCCCGAGTGCCATAGGGAGCCCTCAGCTTCTCCCAAGCCCTGGTCAGGCCTGCCCTCATCTCAGACCCCTGCTTAGGACAGGGGACCTACCTAGCCAGCGTGCTCCTTGTAACTTGTTGGTGCATTTTCTTGAAAGAATAAAATTTGCCTTTCTCCTATGCTCTGAACTCCACCTTCCTCCTGGATCCTGCTTGCAGTTCCCTGGTGACTGTCCTTAGGGCCCTGAGGGATGGGACCTGACCCTCATCCTCAGTGCCACCTTGTCTGCACAGCCCAGGCCTGGGGCTCTGGACCCTATTGTGCCTGGGAACCCAAGGTGCTGGGAGGCTGTTTTCTCTGCACCCAAGTGTCTCAGGGCTCCGAGGTCTTTTGGCTGTTGGGTGGGGTTGGGGGAAGGTGGGACAGTGGTGGGCCTTTGCCGTAGTGGCTGGACTGGCCTGTGATCAGCCCCACACCCAGATCAGGCTGAAAGCAGGAGTAACCATCAGCCGGGTGGAACTTGGCCACAGTGGTCCTAACTCGCCAAGGCCGTGGCAGCAGCTCCAGCCTGGACTCTGGCCCTCCCTCGTCATGGCCCAGTGCACAGAGACTGGGGCCCTTGGCTTGTAAGCTGGGAAGAGTCCCTGGGAGGGGGGTGGGGGGGAGGTCCCAGGAGGTCTATATTGAGGAGCGATGTTTGTATCAGCAGGATCCCTCGGATGGGGACTTGTGGCCATCCCCGGGGGCTGGGATCTCAGTTCACCACAGGACAGCCTGGTATCCATGACCTGCTTCAGCGCCTCTGGTTCCCCAGGGAGACTTGGGGGCAGGGTGTCTTGCCTGGGGTCCCCATCCTCTAAAGAGAAGAAGACTGGAGTTAGCGGGGTTCAAGTCTGTCTCTGACATGCCGTCTCGGTCGAGGCTGCTCACTGTTGCCCAGTATCAGCAGTCTTCCCCAGATGGCCCCCATGTGCTCACACACAGTCAAGCCTGGCTTGAACCCTGACCTGCCGCACCTGATGCCTGTTTGAGACCTGGGACCGGCCTTCACTTCCCACCTGCCTCCCACAGTCTCACACGGCCCAGCTGGACCAGCCAGGCTGGGCCATTGCCTGCTTTCCGCGCCGTCTGTGACTTTGCTGATTTCTGGGCTTGGATCACCCCTCTGCTCCCTACCAGATCCTTCCCCCTGGTGACCTGCGGGACCCAAGCGCTGTCCCTGACTGCCCCAAGCAGGGCTGCTGGCTTTGATGGGCAACCTGCCCTGCAGTGAGGTGGGGGTGTCTTTACTGTGACTGGAACACCCATAGCAGACCCTGCGTGCCTTGGGACAATGTGCACACCATTTCCCCCACTCCAGGTGCATCACGGGGGGAATGGAGATGGCGCCAGTGGTAAAGAACCTGCCTGCCCATGCAGGGGATGCAAGAGACGCAGGTTCGACCCCCAAGTCAGGAAGATTCCCTGGAGAAGGGCATGGCAACCCATGCTAGTATTCTTTCCTGGAGAATCTATGGACAGAAGAGGCTGGCAGGCCACAGTACACTGGGTCGCAGAGTCGGAACACAACCGAAGCGACAACACGCATGCACAGGTTCATCATAAGCTCCCGGGGGGCAGTTCATAGTGACCTGGCCTGCAACCTGTCAGGGGCTTCTGCCCAGCACCCCCTCCCCGCAGTCCTACTCACCCACTCTGGCTTATCCTGAGGTTCTTCCCTGTCCCCTGAAGGAGGTGGCCACAGTAACTGCAGACGTGTTAGCTTGTCCAGGAGCTGTTCGCTCTGCATGAAATACACATCCAGGGTTTTTTCAACTCCTACCACCCTCTGGTGAGGCATGGCTCTGCTGCTGAGCAAAAAAAGAAAGTACCCCCTCCCCCTACCACGCTACCCTTAAACAATCTCACTCTCCTGGGTCTTAGATCCTACCAGGGGCAGACAAATCTATATATAACATGCTGGGGGCAATAGGGGCTTGGAAGAAAAATAGCAGGGGAGTGATGGCTTGGGGGCTGGGCTGTCTGCTGTGAGGTGGGGGGAGGGTTGAGACGTTCGTCCACCGTGTGGACAGGGAGGAAAGAGCCCACTCAGGAATGGGGGTGTCGGGTGCCGCTGAGAGGAGGCTGAGGGCCCTGCTTGAAGTCTGATCATGAGATTTGGGCCACAGAGCTCCAGAGGGGCCTGCGGCCTTGGGGATCTTGACTATTCCAGCTGCTCTAGAGCCTGGTGTTTTCCAGGCCAGAGGTAACAAGCCAGGAAGGAACAAGCCCGCAGAGGCCGAGCTGCTAATCTATATACCCAGAAGCAGGAATGATGGAAGAATGGTATTCCTATTTTTTCCTATGTTGAATTATGTTTTGTTCCAATCAGGTTTCTGGTACTTTGAAAAAAACTGGATTAGTAGCACTTTTGCAACGATGATGCTACTCTATCGCCACCTGGTGGCCATTGATGTGTTTGCGGCAGCAGGCAAAGTGCGCCCATAGGAGTTTCTAAGTAGGTCCTTGAAGCGTTTTTCTGATTTTTCAGACCCCTTCTTGAACATCTGCATCAAGCAGTTGTCTGGCCTTTGCTTGAACACTTCCACTGATGAGGAGAGGTGACTCTATTACTCAACAGTCAGTTCCATGGTGAATAGCAGTTGTGAAGAAAATGATTCTTTACCCAGAGAAAAAAATTTCTCCCTTGTAATACCAAAGCAATAGGAAAGCTGCTTGGGGAACTTCCCTGGTGGTCCAGTGGCTAAGACTCCATGCTCCCAATGCAGGGGGCCCAGGGCTCCATCCTTGGTCAAGAACAATCCCATAGGCCACAACTAAGAGCTTGCATGCCATAACTAAATATCCCACATGCAGTCAAATAATTTTTTTTTTAAAAGAAAAGTGATTGGTGGGGAAATAAGGCTCTCAGAACAGGTAATTGATAGGCCATATTAGTTTGGGACTGAGATTGTCTAAGTGAGCCACTTTCTCAGCAGGCCCCAGTGTAAATCATTTCTATATTCCATCTATTTCCAGAGATCACCAAAGCTCTGATGAACGGTGATGGCAGTGATTTAACTCCCTGTAAGTTAGATTTTATGTTTCCACTCTTGGCTGGATATGCTTGAAAGCAATTAAGTTGAATTTAGATATGAGTTGAAAATCGAACTTTTCACTGATACAGACCATGGTCTCAACTGCGCAGGATGAGGGTGTTCCACTTGTATATTAACTAGGGCTGACCTATAGGTATTTAGGTTATAGTCCATGATGCATGGGACAGTCTGACAAGGACAGGGGCAGACTCTGAGTCTCAAATGCCCTGCAGAAAGGCATGGTTGGGGGATGTCCTTCTGAGAGTAGCAGGTTTGGTACCCAGTAGTTGCTAACTAATATCTCATCCTGCCATGATGTGACATGGCAGAGGGAGAAGCCTAGGGCAGCTAGAACTAGAAGGGTAGGGAAGGCTTCACCAATTTTAGTGTTAATTCTTAGCTTCATCCTCCTGTTGTCAGGGAGCATGGTCCGTGTGACTTTAAATCTTTGAAGTTTGCTGATATTTACTTTTTTGGTCAAGCATAGGATGGATTCTGTCAGTGTTTCCTATGCGTTGGGAAAAAAATGTGAGGTCTGCTAGCATGGGCAGCAGTGTTCCTCTTTCTTTTGTGGGCTAGATTAGCCAACCCCTGAATGAGCCATGATAAGAATGTTGTTGGGACTTGCCTGGTGGTCCAGGGGCTAAGACTCCATGCTCCGAATACAGGGGGCCCAGGTTCAATCCCTGGTCAGGGAACTGGATCCCACATGTGCAAATAAGAGCCTGAATGCCACAACTAAAAATTCCAAGTACCGCAACTAAAACCCACTGCAGCCAAATAAATAAACAATTATTTTTCAGAAAAAAAATGTTGTTTGAAGCCACTGAACATTGGAGTGTTTTACAAAACAGCATTAATGCGGCAATAACTAGCTCATAGGAAGGTCTGCTGAAGAACCTCGAGGAAAATGAAAAATTCATGGTGGGCTCAACAAGGTGGAAGAGGAACTTAGAAGACTCGGAACTTTGTGGAAATGAGTGGGAGGAAGGATTCTGGAATCCAGAGCTACCGTGAGGCTGCTTGAGTCTTTATTGTCACCCAGGACCACCTGGAAAACCCTCCAGGGCTCTCCTGGTAGCCACGGATAAAGCTCTGACTTTGCATCAGACAGACCCAGATGTGAATCTCAGCTTGTCTCTGAGCCTTGAAGTCCTTGGCTATAAAATGGGAGAAGCCTTAACCTTCCAGAGTTGTTGAAGAAGTTGAATAGAACACTGGCACAGCCTTGGGGCTCAGAAGACACAGGCTCTTGTGATGTTATTACAACATGCTTGCTCATTTCTTTCTTGTGCACAAGAACCCTGCAAAGGGGAAATTCATGTCCAAGTTTCAGCTGACTGTTCTGAGTGGAAGTTACTGGAAAGTGATCAAGTCAGGACTTGAGCCCAGTCAAGGCCAGCACTTCAGTGCCCTGCTCCATACAACCCGTCTGTTTCATAGCCAGGGAATCAGAGAGAAACAGTAGAGAAAGTATCTGCTTTAGGTATAAGTTCAGTTTTTCAGGACTTTTCATGGAAGTTCAACCTACAGGACAATACACAGATCCCAAGTGAATAACTGGACAAATTTTCACAAAGCGGACACACTAGGGTAACCCAAGTTAAGAAATAGACCATGACCAGCACCCTGGAAACCCCTCCTCCACCTCACCAAAGGTAACTACCATCCTGAATTCACACACCATCGATTTATCTTGCTTTTTAAAAAAAGTTAATGTAAACTAGATTTCACTTTACGTAGGATTTACCCTTGTTGACCAGGTAGTTACAGTCAGTTCATTCTCAGGAGTGTAGCATGGTCCGTCATGGATCTTTTCTATACTATACCCGTTTCTCCTGAAGGACAGGTAGAGTATTTGGAAAATGGCATTACAAATGTTAATATTCACTGAATATTAATAGTAATTAATAAGGTTTATTAATAGTAACATTCATTGAATATTCGTTGCCAGGACTGATGCTGAAGCTGAAGCTCCAATACTTTGGCCACCTGATGAGAAGAGCTGACTCATTTGAAAAGATCCTGATGCTGGGAAAGATTGAGGGCATAAGCAGAAGGAGGAAGCAGAGAATGACATGGTTGGATAGCATCACCGACTCAATGGACATGAACTTGAGCAAACTCTGGGAGACAGTGAAGGACAGGGAAGCCTGGTGTGCTGTAGACCATGGGATCACAAAGAGTCAGACACAACTTAGTGACTGAACAACAACATTACAAGTAGTGCTGTTGAGAATAGCTGTCCTCATCTTTTGGCAAACTCATGTACACATTTCTGGTTTCTACAAATTTAGGAGTGGAATTGCTGGGGATGGGTTCATTAGGCTACTCATCACTTACTAACTTTATGAACCAAGGCAAATTATTTAGCTTCTCTTAGACTCACTTTTCATATCTGTATATTGGAAACAAAAATACTTTCCCCTCAGGATTGTGGCTGGGGCTTAATATCGGCAAGGCAACTGGCCCCAGGGTAGCTCCCCCCAACTTTCTTCCCCCAACCCTGCTGGGTCCTTGCTGCCTCGCACAGGCTCCGCTAACTGTGGTGTGTGAACTTGGCTGCCTCACTGCATGTGAGATCTTAGTTCCATGACCAGGGATTAAACCCGCATTCCCTACAGTGCAAGGTGGATTCTTAACCACTGGCCCACCAGGGAAATCTCTAGCCCCCCTTTCTTTTTTCCTTCCTCTGCTGTGCCAGAGCCCGAGCACATGGCTTTTCATGCTAGGCTGCGCCTTTGCCAGGAGTCCTCACCCAGAACTTGGAAAGTTCACCTGCTGCCCAGGGCTCCTGGGGCTGCCTTTACACCCAGCCCATTCTCCTCTGTGATCCAGTTGCTGGCACCCAGCCCAGCACTGGCTTGCTGCGGTCACTGTCACTGCTAACATGTGTTTTAATGATGGTCCCTGCCAGAGGCTGGCTTGCCTGGATGTCTCCCCTGGGAGACAGGCCCAGCAGAGGCAAGGGATGAGGAGACTGAAGAGCTGGCTGAGATGTAACTCGGGAGTTTAGAACAGACATTCCTCTCTTGCCTGGTCTTTCCTCTAGATTTCCAGGTAGGATGTTTTCTTAGGCCCCTGAATTTCTTTATTCTTTCTGGAACACGAGTTGGAACGTCAGAGCGCATCAAGTGGGGAATCTGCCTAGGGGTGGATGCTGTCAAGACAGAGCTGACGTCTGTGTAATAGCAGCCTGGAGCCTTGTGTTGAGAAGGATTCCGAAGGTATTGTCCAGGCTCAGGAAAGAATGCCATGGTCGATTGGTTATGTCTGTTAGGTGTCTGGAGGTCGAGGTGGAGGTGGTGGTGGTTTAGTCACTGAGGCGTGTCCGACTCTTTGCGAGCCTGTGGGCTGTAGCCCGCCAGGCTCCTCTGTCCGTGGGCTTCTCCGGGCAAGAATACTGGAGTGGGTTGCCATTTCCTTCTCCAGGGGATGGGAGCTGGTGGCAGCATGTATTTCTTAAAATCTCAGTTAGTATCGATAGAAAATGGACATATATTTGATTTAGAACTATAAATAGGATTTTTAAATAGGTAAGCTAAATCCTTTTACATCTATATGAATATTGATATATTTGGGTTGATTTCTACCATTCAAATTTTTGTTTTCTCTTTACTATCTATACCTTTTTTCCTTTTCTTCATTGAATTTGTGAAGTTTCTGTAATATCCTGTCTCTTTTCTCCTCTTGCTGGTTTGTAACATAGAAAAAATTATTTTGGGGGCTACATAAACATTTTTAATATACACATTTGCTATTCAGTGTTTCTTTCCTTCTGAACAATGCCCCTTCCTAGCTTATTTTTATCATGTTAAATGCAACATTGATGATTTTTCTGAGTTGATTAAATTTGTTTATATATTTTATAAATTGACTTGCTCATCATTTTTTCCCTTACCACATGACATTTTCTTTTTGCTGAATACCTCCACCATTACCAGCACTAGCAGTTACCATAATCCAGGGCTTCCTTTGTGGCAGACACTGTCCTAGTAATCCTGCACGTGTTAAGTCCGATAGTCCTCCACAACATCCTGTGAGTGTATCATCTCTGTTCTGCGGATGAGCAAACAATCACAGAGGTAGGCAACAGTTGGACATGACTGAGCGACGGGGCATGAGGCAGCTGCCCAAGGTCAACGGGGTTGCGGAGAGTCCAGAATTGTGCTCACTGTGTTGCTCTTTGCTCTGTGTTTAAATTTTATTATTTTAAAACCATTTTAGATTTACAGAAAATTTGCATGGGTGGTACAAAAAGTCCCCCTATACCCTCCAACCAGCTTTCCCTAATGTTAACATCTTGAAAGACCATGGTGCACCCAATAAAATGAAAATTCACGCCAGCAGAATGCTGTTAACTAAAAACTACAGACTTTAATTGTATTTTACCACGTATCCACTAATATCTTTTTCTGTTCCAGAAGCCAACCCAAAATACTATATTGCATTTAATGTGTGTGTATATACATCTCTTTATCTTACTATTTTTATACAAACTTGAAATATTCATAATATAATACTTAAAATAGTGCATATAAATATATTTATATATTTAAACTTTTTAATTAAAAATGTAATATATAATACACATTTATATGTAATATATAATATATGGTTTTTAAATTAAAGAATTGAAGTACAGTTAACTTACAATATTGTATTAGTTTCTGTTGTAACAGCAAATTGATTGTTATATATGTATAATATAGTTATATTACTTACATTATTAAATATTTATATTATTGTATATATTATATACATTATTACAAGATATTGAGTATTGCTAATATATTTATATATATTATTACAAGATATGCGCTATTCAGTAGGACCTTGTTGTTTACCTATTTTATATATAGTGGTTTGTATCTGCTAATCCCGTCTCTATCCCTGCTACCTCAGAGGGGGCAGTTGACTTTGGGCTTCCTTTGTGGCTTAGCTGGTAAAGAATCTGCCTGCAATGTGGGAGACCTGGGTTCGATCCCTGAGTTGGGAAGATTCCCCTGGAGAAGGGAAAGGCTACCCACTCCAGTATTCTGGCCTGGAGAATTCCATGGACTGTATAGTCCATGGGGTCGCAAAGAGTCAGACATGACTGAGCGACCCTCACTTCACCCACTAATATATATATATATATATATTTATAATATATTAAGTATATCATAAAATATATTTAAAGCTATTTTTATTATGGAAGACTTCAAGTTTATATATAATACATATTTTTAAAACTATTTTTATTAAAACATATAACACCTAATTTATATAAAATATATAAGATTGTATAATGTATTTCTATTAAAATATATTATAAATATATTAAAATACATTTAAACTATTTTTATTGTGTAAGATTTCAAATTTATACAAAAGTAGAGAAGGCAATGGCAACCCACTCCAATATTCTTGCCTGGAGAGTCCCATGGACGGAGAAGCCTGATGGGCTACAGTCCATGGGGTTGCAAAGAGTCAACTGAGCGACATCATTTTCACTTTCACGCATTGGAGAAGGAAATGGCAACCCACTCCAGTGTTCTTGCCTGGAGAATCCCAGGGACGGGGGAGCCTGGTGGGTTGCTGTCTATGGGGTTGCGCAGAGTCGGACACGACTGACGTGACTTAGCAGCAGCAGCAGCAGAGAATAACAAAATAGTAAAATAAACATTTAAATAAAACTAGTATTAAAATTTATTCTTTACTCAGCTTCAAGAATAACTAACTCATGACCAATTTGTTTCATACTCCACACCAAATTTTTTTTTCCTTGTCTTGTTGACCTGAATTTCATAGATATATATACCTTACGTACCACTTTCTTATTTTACCTACTTCCTATGTGGCAATTCTCTAGTCCAAGTATTTTATTAACCATAGAGTTTCTAGGGCCAACACTGGGAACTTCTCTTTTTTTTTTCCCAAGAAGTCTTTGCATACCACTTTGTAGAAACAGTTGAAGAGGCGAGGGATGGCAAAGTTACAAGTACTTAAAAAAAAAAAAAAAAATTAGCACCAAAGGTTAGGACACGTGGCCTGGGGACTGACTCATCTCTGTCCTTTGCTTTAGGTTATGTTCCCCTGGCCATGCCATTTCTTTTGTTTAAACCCCAATCTCCTAATTTACAAAGTGTGGATACTTAATCTACCTCATTGAATTCTTGTGAGGATACCATTAAAGAGCATATTTTAAAGCCATTTTAATATTGCATAGTTCCTATGCACATATAAAGCCTTGTACGTCCCTGGTGGTCCAGTGGTTAAGAATCCACCTGCCAGTGCAGGCGATGCAGCTTGGATCCCTGGTCCCAGAAGATCCCACATGCCGCAGAGCAGATAAGCCTGTGCACCAAAACTGCTGAAGCCCCTGTGCCTAGAGCCTAAGCTCCACAACAAGAAAAGCCCCTGCAATGAGAAGGCTGAGCACAGAAATGAAAAGCAGCCCCAGCTCGCCGCAACTGGAAAAAGCCCGTGTGCAACAAGGAAAACCCGCGCAGCCAAAAATAAATAAAATGAATCTGTTAGGTAGGTTAAAAAACAAAGGCACCCCAGTGTAGTTCGCTTTGTATGCCTTTTATTCTGGTGAATTGCATCTCCCATCATGCATTTAAGAGGCTTGTATCTTCTTTCTGCTGCTGGCGGTTCACTCTCCCGGCTTAATGATCTTCTGGGGGAGCGGTCAGGAATGAGGTGTAATCGTCTGTCTCTGACTGTCTGGTGTCGCTTTCGCAAACAAGCTTCTGGGGAATGAAAGACTTAAGGACAAACACGGGGTGGCAACATGTGCTATCAACATTCCAGACGTCGGGGCTGGGGAGACGCGGCGACCCCGGAGAGGCGTTTCCGTTGCCCTTCTGCCCTGCATTTGGAAGGCTGATCTTCAGGGGACTCAGGCTGTCCCCTTCCTCCACTGTGCTCCTGTTGACACAGGCAGCCTCGTGCTCCTCCAGCTTCTTGATGGGGACCACGTGGCAGGCGTTGTATTTGCAGCTGGCCATCTTTTTGGCTATCTTGGGGTTCTTTCTCCGGCATGATGCCAGGTGGTACTGAAATCTGCTGAGTGGGATTCGGTGGTGAGGATTGTAAGGGCAAATTTCTAAGGCTTCTGGCTCCATGGGAACTAGTTCTTGAAGTAGGGTTGCCCACTGCCTGGAGTCACGATGAAATGCCCTTCACGGAAAAGCCCTTTGGTAAGAAGGATGGAGCGGTCCTCCGTTCCAGCGCTGCCCCTTGGAACTCTGGAGCCGCAGGTCTGAACAACTCGGGCTGCCTATTCTTGGGACCATGAGTGGTGGGTCAGAAGAGGGACAAGGGGCTGAGAGGAGCAGCTGCACAGACAACAGGCGGTCATCAAGTGGCATGTGAGATGGAAGGACCACTCAGAGCAGATGCCAGAGCCCAAACCGCAAGTGGCCGCTCAGGGAGCTGAAGAACGAACGTGCCAGCCGGCCTTTGCCTTTAACTCTCACTTATGTGCTGCTGCCGGGCAGTCATGGACAGTCACAATGGGCATTGTGAGTCATCAGCCGCATTCTTGCTGTCCTTTACTTTCAAGGCATGAGGTGGGCTTGGGGAAAGCTGCCATTTACAACTGTTGGTGACATGTCATCATTTAGCTGTCTTTCTATTTTGTTTTTTTGTTCCAGTTGAAGTCTATGTTAGTTTCTGGCATACAGCCAAGTGATTCAGCTATACACACACATATATTCTTTTTCAAATTCTTTTCCATTATGGTTTATTACAAGGTGATGAATATAGTTTCCCGTGCTGTAAAGTAGAACCTTGTTGTTTATCTATTTTACATATAATAGTTTGTATCTGCTAATCCCAAACTCCTAATTGATCATTTACCTGTCTTTAAACCTACAGGTTTAATATCATTTGTGATACATTTGGGTTTAAATCTATGATCTTCTTTGGTGCTTGGTTCATTTTCTTCTATCTTCCTTTAAATAGACTTTTAAAAGCTCCATTTCTTTCACTAGTTTGTAAGTTATACACTGTAGAACTAATCATTTCGTGGTTACTCTACAAGTGAAAACAAAGATAATTTATCAAGGCTTAAAGTTAATAAGTATTAGCTTCTTTCTGGATAATACAGAGCTTTTTCTTCATTTACTTTCCTCATGATTTATTATGTTATTATTCCCTGTATTTTTTTTTTTTTTTTTTTTTTAGCCATACCACATGGCATGTGGGATCTTCCTTCCCTGACCAGGGACCAAACCTGTGCCCCCTGCAGTGGAAGCACAGAGTCTTTAACCTCTGAACCACCAGAGAAGTCCCTGTTCCTTGTATTTTAAGCCTAATTTTTAAAAAAGCTTTGCAAGACAGCATTGCTAATATCAAAGTTCGATTATACTTATGTTCACATTTATTTCTCTCTCCTTTTGCACTTGGACTCACTATGTGGGATCACTTTGTTTCTGCTGAAAGTTTTCAAGTTTTAGAATTTCCTCTTGACACATACTTCTGATTTCATTTGTCTGAAGCCATCTTTATTTCACCCTCACTCTTTTTTGTTTATCTATTTTTAAATTTTATTTATTTATTTTGACTCCACTGGGTCTTCACTGCTGCACGGGCTCTCCTCTCGCTGCCGAGAGCCGGGACTGCGCTCCAGTTGCACCATGTGGGCATCTCTCTGCAGCGGCTTCTTTCGTTGGGGTGCACAGGCTCTAGGGTGCCCAGGCTTCAGCAGTTGCAGTTCCCGGGCTCCGGAGCACAGGCCCAGTGGTTGTGGTGCATGGCTTAGTTGCTCCCCAGCAAGTGGGATCTTCCCGGACCAGGGATCGAGCCTGTGTCTCCTGCATTGGCAGGCAGATTCTTGACCACTGAGCTATCGTGGAAGCTCTCACCCTCATCCTTGGAAGGTGTTTTTGCTGACAGCAGTCGTGCTATTTTCTTTCTTTGTATTGAATCAGAGCCCAATTTCTTCTAACTTCCGTGTTTGAGAATTCAGAATCTCACAGTTACCTCACTTCTTTTGAAGCCCATCTGTGTCTTTTCAT